GAATGAGTAGAGAGAATCTTCGGATAGCCATGTAAGACTGATACCACTGAAAGGAGGAAAGGAATTAGGTTGAGAGAGAGTCTCATATCTCAGTGCACTTCTGAGAAATTTTCAGTTAGGTTGATGAGGATTTCATTTAAAAAACAGCAGCTCATCAGAAGAGTCCTGCCTCAGGCAGGAGTGGCCTGGCATAAATCCCCTCAGCATGCTTACAGAGTATCTAGGAAGCAGCCTAGGTGGATCCAGAAGACTGACAACTGGAGCTGTCAGTTGACTATGTCTCCTGTAGCAGGTTCTCTTGAAGGTCATCTAAGCAGCAACTTCCATGTCTGCCACAGTCAGCTCTGAGTATTAGAAAGCTTTACATTAAACAAAAATCGGACTCTCCATACTTAACAAAAAACTCCTCTACTGATGACATAAATGAGTTGAGACTCGATTAATTGCAAATGCAACTGAAACTAATGCAAGCAAAAGAAGAGCTTTTGGAAAGGTATTTGGTTAATTTATGGAATTTGAGAGATTAAAGAGTATTTCTGGGGCTTGGATTGCAGTGGTGAACTAAGGAAGTTCATGCATGTTGTTTCTCATGGCTCTTGCTCTGTGAGCAATTATATTTTGCCCTAAAAATACATACTGGCTTCCTCAAGTCTTCATTTGGAACATTATGGAACATGGCTGCCAACCATTTCTGAATTTACATGTTCATGTCACATACAGCTTGAATATGGCAGAATAATAATCATGTTTATTTTTCGGTCCCAGTTCCAGAATTCCAAGAGAAAAACTTGTTTGGCCCAGCCTGGATCAAATGTTCACTACTGAAATAACAGTGGTGTGAAGGCAAAGTGGGCTTACCTTAGACCAGGTTCTCAAACTTGGCTGCACAGTGAAATCACCAGGAGACCTTTAAAAATATTGACCACTCACCTCCTCACCCCTAGCTTCTAGCCTCTGGTCTCCAGCCTCCAGTCTCCAGCCCAGGATCTAATTTAACTGATTTGGTGTGCTGTCTGGGCATAGAAAATTTTAAAACTCTACGAGTGATTCTAAGGTGCACCACAGAAATATGCATCTCTCACAAAGCCAGGTGATAGAATGGGGAGCAGAACTCAAGCAACTCCCGAGAGAGGTCTTGGCAACCACTTGTAGATCCCCACTATGAAATAAAACTTTCTGTTGTTTTTAAGGAGAACTTATTTAAGTCATTGGTAGAAGTCATATGTCTATAACTCATTTTTTTTTTTTTAAGAAGGGGTCTGGAGGGACAGGGAAGGTCAGAGGTGAGAGGAAGGAAGCTGAGAAGAAGGGGTGTGGCAGGGGTACTGGTCCAAGATAAATGTGAGAGACCTGGGATTTGGTTGGGGGGAACAGGTTGAAAAAGGTGGAGGGTGAAGGTGAGAGAAGAAGGTAATGGTGCTGGGGAGGACCAGACTGGGGCAGAACAAAGTGGGAAGGTGGGGACGGGTGAGGAGGAGGAAGGAAGAATTGGTGCAGGTACTGGAGAGCAAGGCAATGGGGTGGGAAACTCTACAACTCATTTTTAAAGTACGTCTTATTTTGCCATATTTTTGATAAAGATTATGTTAAAAACAAGTACCAAAGAATTAATAATAATAATTCCTTTTCTACCAGAAGTAAAGTAAGTTATTCTAGTATATAATATAATTCTTATGCCTTATACAACGTAATGGTTGTGTAAAGATAAAACCAACTTTTAACTTTCAATACAGAAAATAAAAGCTGAAAAAATTGTATGCTTCTAAAACAATCCAAATTTTTGGCATAAAACATACTTTGGCAGGTAACTTTTTCTAAAGAATCTTGTTCCATTTTTAAGAAAATACTGTTTTGTCAGTGGGATCTGCTGAGGCAAACTCTTCTACAAGTTTCATGCTATATAGCTCTTAAAAATGTTTTAAAAACAACTCTCGGATTAAAATATCACATTTTCTCTTGAATTAATCTTTATATGGGTTCAGAGAGTCTAGGTAAAAAGTGTTTAAATGATTTTAATGATAGTTTAAATAATAGTTCTTGGAAGAGTAGACGGATAAAGGGAGTCAAATATAAGGGGATTGGGGGAGGGCGAAGTGGGTAAAGGGGATCAAATATATGGTAGCTGAAGGAAACTAAACTTTGGGTGGTAATCACACAATAGAATATATAAATGTCAAATTATAATGTACACCTGAAAATTATGTAATTGTATTAACCAATGTTACCCCAATAAACTTAATTAAAAAAATAAGTGTATTTATAAAATAAAAAAATAAATGATTAGTTCTTTTGCTAA